TGAAGAATGAGCCTCACTGGTAAGATTTGGTATTAGACCAATGGGAGGGGCCTCAGCTGTCCAATCAGCGGGGCAAACTGACGCTTGCGTTGAAAAAATGTCACTCCATCGTCACAATTTGAAAAGTTACTGACCTTTACTTCAAAACGACTTATTTGTGCTTGTTTTGGCATCACCTGGTTAGTACTGTGATGGGAGACCTCTGTGTAACACACTCCCCTCATACTGCAGAGACGATGACTGCACGGATTGTATTTAAACCAGTGGACTGTCAGTGGTTCACAGGGATCACCCCCGTTGATCCGACAACAACAGACCCGATACAGATTGTTGTCCAAAGAGGGGCCTGAGGAGGTGCTGCGGTCTGAGTAGGCTGAGATTGGGAAAAAAAAGTTTCTGAAAGGAATGTCGAGGAATGAAAAAGGGGTTTGCTCAACTCTCATAGTGGTGAATACATTAAAGTAGTTGGATGTAAACTAAAAAAGACAGAATAGAAATCAGATTTTCAGATTGAAAAGTGAAAAAGAGAAGACTACTTTCAAGCAACCAATCAGCTATCAGCTCAAAGAATCAAAAACATCCAAGCAAAAGATTATTATTTTTTTGTAAAAGCTGGTCTGATTTGTTCACGACAACTTTTACAGTTTTTCTATTGGCTCAAACAAATTGTAATATTTATGAAGAAGCTTTTGACCGGGACCCGAAAAAAAGGTTTTTGTGGAGAGTTTGTTGAAGTTCATATTTTAAAGGTAAAAGGTAAAGATGCACTTTATTAATCCCCGTACGACAATTCATCCTCTGCATTTGACCCATCCTGATGCCGCTAAGGCTTACGTCAGGAGCAGTGGTCGCCGTAGTAACAGCACCCGGGAACCCATCCCCAGATGTTGATGCTCTTGGTCAGGACCAGAGCTGGAGGATTTAACCTGGTGAGCATGTTTTCAGTGGTAGTGGAAACCGGAGTACCTGGAGGAAACCTACGCAAGCACGGGGAGAACATGCAAACTCCACTCAGAAAGACCCCATTCCGACCAGGATTCAAACCCGGGACCTTCCAAAGACCTTTGCTTTTGTGGGTTTATTTTCCATCTATATTTTATATTATGGAGGTATTTTAACAACATAATTTTAATTAACATGAGTTTGGAGCATTTTTGAAACAATCGGCAAAGTTACTGTTTGTTTGGATTGTTGGGAATATGGGAGTTATGGGAATTTTAGCTTTAAAATGAATCTATCAATGCTGCATGTTTATTTTAATTTAAAGTGATCCAATCTCAACAGCTGACTGAAAGCTAAAAGTGCAAAAGATTAACCTTAGAAAAATAAGAACTATTCAATTTGGAACAGTGAATTTTTCCTGAAGTTCATGTTCGAGCCAAATACAAACCGTGATTGTGATAAAATGCTATGGAAAGCCTGTTGAATGACACGAGGACATCAGCAGCGGGTCCTTATCAGTGTTTAAATAACGTGGGTGGCGGTTCACGTTGCACATATGAGGAAGACTGTCAGTCTGGAGAGATAAGTCCGCAGTAAGAGTGAGTCAATCTGAAATACACATATTGCATAACACCAGGTGCTTACCATCATCTGAGTTTGGACATATCCGCAGTTCACTTTCCTCCACAGAGATGCAATCACGGCGAACATAAAAGCATGACCATTTTTGTACGTGAGCCCACATTTTTGTCTTTTGTATGAAAACATTGAGGAGTTAATGCAAAAGCTGCAGGAGGAGGATGACCATAACAGGTCTGCAGCAGGATCCCTTTGTACTCCGCCTGATGCTTTACCACTCAGGGAGAAACAGATATTTGAGAGAGAATGTATTGGTTATTTTAATTTATGTTTTCTACATTTGAAACTATTGATTTCACATGCTATAATATAAAATGCCAAAGACAGTTGTAAAACCTCTTCAGTCGCCTCCAGCTGGTGCAAACTGCAGCACATTGCCCCAGTCCTTTTCTTCTTCCAGTTTGCTTAATGATTGAACCAACCAACCAAGGACTCAACAGTTTCACACTTTACAGCCACAGCCGCCCCATCATGGTACTAACCCAGGCATGCCTTGCTTAGCTTCTGATATCAGGAGGGATTAGGTTTCACATATGTATTCAAAATGAGTTTCTTTGGCGAAATTTAGGATTTGTGTTTAAACGTTTTTCCCCCTGACTTTGCTGAGAAGCTTTTGTGTCACTTTCTCTTTTCAACAGCTTTAAAGTTTTTTTTATAGATTTCATTTCTTGAAACGTGTCAGAGATGAGTAACATAACCAGGTCTCATAAGCAGCACATCTGTCGTCATCTACGCAAACTTAACACTGAATTAGAAAGGAAAGAACAACAGTACAATAAAAATCAGGACAAACATTTATTTTAGAAAAAAGGGACAAATCAAAGAAAACAATGAAATAATATGCTTTTCAAACAAAAGCATAAAAGCAACAAACCATGTTTAAACATTTGGTTGACAGTTTTTATGCATTTCTGCTTCAGGAATAAGAGCAGTATCGAGTGCGGGTGACAATCAACATAATGAGCTACAATAGTGCATTTAGCAGATTACCTGAACATTCAACAACACTGATATAAAACATGTAAAAAATAGAATTACACAGAATCAATTGCCTAAACACAGCAGTGAAAACCACCCGAGAATCTCTTCCGTTGGTCGGTCAGATAACAGCAGACGGTTCCTCAGAGTCTCGCAAAACTACCTACAAAATTAAGATTATTATCGCTGTATTTTGCTGCCAGATAACCTAACTAAATAAATGTCTAGACTCAAAACTTTTCAACTTCTCACAATGCAGCTGTGAATGGCAAAGTCTAACAATAAGTACAATGTTCTGGTGTGTATAATAAAATCTATATAAAAAAGAATAAACGTTATAAGTGCATATTATTTTCACAGTTTTCCGTCTATTGCCACCATTCAGTTAAATGCATCAGAGCAAACAGCAATGTCGACCCTCTCTGTAAAATGACCTGCGACTCTACCACTTGTATAATTATACATTGCATCCTGGTTATGATTGAGTTGGGCTACATCCAAATTCAGAAAAATACTTCCTTTCCTACTGTATGCTTCCCGTTTCTCGACCTGGGTTTCCTTGAGTGGCTTAAACATATATACAGTCTATGAATTAAACATATATACAGTCTATGAATTAAACATATATACAGTCTATGAATTAAACATATATACAGTCTATGCATTAAACATATATACAGTCTATGCATTAAACATATATACAGTCTATGAATTAAACATATATACAGTCTATGAATTAAACATATATACAGTCTATGCATTAAACATATATACAGTCTATGCATTAAACATATATACAGTCTATGAATTAAACATATATACAGTCTATGCATTAAACATATATACAGTCTATGAATTAAACATATATACAGTCTATGCATTAAACATATATACAGTCTATGCATTAAATATATATACAGTCTATGCATTAAACATATATACAGTCTATGAATTAAACATATATACAGTCTATGCATTAAATATATATACAGTCTATGCATTAAACATATATACAGTCTATGCATTAAACATATATACAGTCTATGCATTAAATATATATACAGTCTATGCATTAAACATATATACAGTCTATGCATTAAATATATATACAGTCTATGCATTAAATATATATACAGTCTATGCATTAAACCCATCTTAAAAAAGGTTTTCAATTTCTTTTTTGCATAAGAATTGCAAAGGAAGTAAGTTTTCTGAATTTAGATGCAGCCAAAGTGAAATAACAGATTTGAGATTCACCAACTACTGTGAATCTCAAATGGCAGTGTTATTGATGTTGTTAATGAAGCATTTCTTTGACATTTTAACAGTTCTTTCTCTTCAGATGACTAGAAAGATGCACACAATCCTAATTATGAGAATCCACCTGTGGCTCATCATTATAAATTTAACACAATTGGGTCTCAATATGAGCTAAAATTATGAACAAACAGAAACAAGTCCATGCACTTCTGTATCAGTCTGGCCATATCTCTGCCCGGTTACACCATGTCTGAGAACGTGGTCACACCAAAGACCCTGCAGTGCTTAGGTCAGAGTTTTTCTTCCTTCAAGCAATAATGACGAGCAGAATCATCCGCATATGAAGATTTGGAAATGAAAAAGGGTAAATCGGTCTTGGTTGGATGAGAATATAGAGGCTTTACACACTCTCAGACCCCTTTCTCTCTCTAGTTAACACTAGGGTCCTGCTTATTTACGTTAAGGTGCCCATAATTTCATAAATAGTGCCTCACTCCTCTTTACTCCAGAAATGATCCCGCTGCGCTCAAACACCAAATACTGAGTTTATCAACCCCACAGTTTGCAATGAGGGCATTCCTTTGTAAGCAGCAGAAATGCGCTTACGTTGCTCTACTCTTTGTGGAATTGAAAAACTAATCCATAGACTGGCTATCGATTAGTTTTTAGTTTTTACATTCCACATAACCGCAATGCGAACACAAGTGCTAGCAATCTGGCAATGTTGCTTACGAAGCGTTAGCTGCAAACCATGTAAACACAAGCACCTCAAGGTGAATAGTTACAGTTTGACCTGTTTGATTTATTTCAGAAAAATACCTCAACTTTACTTTACAGCACAGAGCCGGAGAAGAAGCCTGGATCCACATTGTTTATTCTCCACTTAAATAGGGGCTTAAGAGCTTTAATAACTCAATTATGTACGCATTGCTCTCTAAAAGCAGCTTCTAATGTGTAAATAACGAGGAAACACAGTGAATAGTCCGTTGTACATGTCCCTTTGACCACTAAGGACCGCCGCTCTCTTTGACGAGTCGCACCCTGCTCTGTGACTCAGATGGTGATACGAGTCTGGGTTTACCACCAAAGCCTTCAAGCGTTCATGGAGCCTGCGTTTGCTTCGGTGCGGGCCCCTGGAGGTGCGAGGGGGCTCACAGTGTCAAGGCAGGGTGCTCTGCGGGTCAGTTCTTAAAGGCTCCGTAGCGGCTGGCCTTGCTGATGAAGTTCTTGAGCAGGTCGTGGTCCATGTCGGCGAAGGCCTGCGTCTGGGTGACCGCAGTGAGGTGGTTTACACAGAATTTGAAGCAGAACTCCTCCAGGTCCTGGGAACAAGAGGCAGGATGAGGTTTCATGTAAGCGGAAAACAAAAGAACGTTTCTAATCATGTCGTTCCCTCATCAAACACCAATCAGGAGTTTTTAGCTTTTGTAAATCGTGGAGGCGGAGCACACTTTGATCCGGATTGAAATAGTAGAATGTGTGTATCTTGTTTTGAGGGAGTGCATGTGTGTGTTTGTCTTGTGATGAGTGCATGCATGTGTGTGTGTGTTGTGTGTGTCTTGTGTTGTGTGCATGCATGTGTTTGTGTCTTGTGTTGAGTGCATGCATGTGTGTGTGTGTGTGTCTTGTGATGAGTGCATGCATGTGTTTGTGTCTTGTGTTGAGTGCATGCATGTGTGTGTGTGTGTCTTGTGTTGAGTGCATGCATGTGTTTGTGTCTTGTGTTGAGTGCATGCATGTGTGTGTGTGTCTTGTGATGAGTGCATGCATGTGTTTGTGTCTTGTGTTGAGTGCATGCATGTGTGTGTGTGTCTTGTGATGAGTGCATGCATGTGTGTGTGTGTCTTGTGATGAGTGCATGCATGTGTTTGTGTCTTGTGTTGAGTGCATGCATGTGTGTGTGTGTGTCTTGTGATGAGTGCATGCATGTGTGTGTGTGTCTTGTGATGAGTGCATGCATGTGTTTGTGTCTTGTGTTGAGTGCATGCATGTGGGTGTGTTGTGTGTGTCTTGTGTTGAGTGCGTGCATGTGTGTGTGTCTTGTGTTGAGTGCATGCATGTGTGTGTGTTGTGTTGAGTGCGTGCATGTGGGTGTGTTGTGTGTGTCTTGTGTAGAGTGCGTGCATGTGTGTGTGTGTTGTAAGAGGGTGTAGTAAACCACCAACACAAATGATTATGAGAAAGTGATATTCTGTGATCTCAGTGGGACGTTGGGAGAAGGGGTTGTGTGTGTTATGGCTTTGTACACGTTTTTAGTGGTAAGGGAAACCGGAGCACCCGGAGAAACCCCTACACAGAAGCGGGGAGAACACCACACAGACAGACCTGGAATGGAATCAAACCCAGGACCTTCTTGATGTGAAGCACAAGCGCTAACCACTGCACCGCCCTGAGTATGCTGATCAGTCAATGTTTAACCGTTATAAGGTCATAACTTGCTTACTTAAAGTTTCAATTTGAGTGATTATTTCTGCGTGAGCAGCTCACAGTGTGTGTACTCTTTGTACTTTTGGACTCTGGGTCGTGCACCGGGCATGGCAGGGAAGAATTTAGATTGTAATTGGGTCAACTGCAACCAGGATATATTGACATAATGGAATGTGCTGTCAGGCCACACTACACATAGACACCTGCTTATGTGTGGAGAGGAACAAGTATGGAAATATCTATTCCATAAAATGTACTGTAGTAAATATTATTCATAACTTTGGCCATTACAGATACGAAAGAGCCGTTATACCCATTTCATGTTCATAGGATGTGATAGTGGAAACATGTATGAATGGTAGACAATGCTTTTGGCCTGCCCTTTCCCTATGCTACCACCAGATGGAGGGTAGCGTTTGTAAAAAAAATACTTATTAATAAGTGAAGTCATTCAGAAATTGCCAAAACGAATCTATGTTTTAAAAAGGCAAAATTTCCTGATAAAAACATGGATGGATCTAAAAAAAAATATTTTGATGAGTGAGCAATATTGTAACATTGTTTAAAGCTCAAAAAAGTCGATTTGCATAATACGTCTAATTTAAAGAAGACTTTTCTATACTATAATGTATGTATGATTACAATAAAAACAAGGAACAAAACCTCACGCCTTCAAGTCCAACATATGATGGCAGTCCGACATAAATCAGTCTAAAAACAACTTCATTGTGTAAAAGGAAAACAATGAATAATAAGTTTGCACAATATTTAAAGTGGCACTACATAACTTTCAGGAGGTGAAATATCACCTGTTTGACATCACAGAAATAGGGCCTCCTCCTCCACGACAAGTACAAGTCAAAGCAGCTCACTGTGAGGACACATGATGTGATAGTGTGTCACAAACCCATTCCAAAAGAGGAAAACATGCTGCTACCTTTCCCCTCATAAGTTATGTACTGGGGCTTTAAAGCTGGGACACCTAACTTTCAAAGCACAATTAAATGAACAATATCATAAAATCCATCTAACTTAAACAGCAGGCTTCTAACACCAGCTCTCACATGCATGTGTTGGCCTTTGTCACAACTTGAGATCATTTTAAGACAGGAAAGTGAAAAACAAAGCACCACCCTCCCTCAGCCAATCAGCTACTCTCACTCAGCCAATCAGCTACTCTCACTCAGCCAATCAGCTACTCTCACTCAGCCAATCAGCTAAACTCACTCAGCCAATCAGCTACTCTCACTCAGCCAATCAGCTACTCTCACTCAGCCAATCAGCTACCCTCATTCAGCCAATCAGCTACCCTCACTCAGCCAATCAGCAACTCTCACTCAGCCAATCAGCTACCCTCACTCAGCCAATCAGCAACTCTCACTCAGCCAATCAGCTACCCTCACTCAGCCAATCAGCAACTCTCACTCAGCCAATCAGCTACCCTCACTCAGCCAATCAGCTACCCCCACTCAGCCAATCAGCTACTCTCACTCAGCCAATCAGCTACTCTCACTCAGCCAATCAGCTACTCTCACTCAGCCAATCAGCTACCCTCACTCAGCCAATCAGCTACTCTAACTCAGCCAATCAGCTACTCTCACTCAGCCAATCAGCTACTCTCACTCAGCCAATCAGCTACTCTCACTCAGCCAATCAGCTACTCTCTCACTCAGCCAATCAGCTACTCTCACTCAGCCAATCAGCTACTCTCACTCAGCCAATCAGCTACCCTCACTCAGCCAATCAGCAACTCTCACTCAGCCAATCAGCTACCCTCACTCAGCCAATCAGCAACTCTCACTCAGCCAATCAGCTACCCTCACTCAGCCAATCAGCTACCCTCACTCAGCCAATCAGCTACTCTCACTCAGCCAATCAGCTACTCTCACTCAGCCAATCAGCTACTCTCACTCAGCCAATCAGCTACTCTCACTCAGCCAATCAGCTACCCTCACTCAGCCAATCAGCTACCCTCACTCAGCCAATCAGCAACTCTCACTCAGCCAATCAGCTACCCTCACTCAGCCAATCAGCAACTCTCACTCAGCCAATCAGCTACCCTCACTCAGCCAATCAGCTACCCTCACTCAGCCAATCAGCTACCCTCACTCAGCCAATCAGCTATACTCTCACTCAGCCAATCAGCTACTCTCACTCAGCCAATCAGCTACTCTCACTCAGCCAATCAGCTACTCTCACTCAGCCAATCAGCTACTCTCACTCAGCCAATCAGCTACCCTCACTCAGCCAATCAGCTACTCTCACTCAGCCCAAATAGTGACTCACGTCTTCATCCAAAAGAGGATGTTGTGGTATAAATTGTTTACAACATTTTACTCTTTCTGCTGTGACAAACAACATGCATTATTTATGAACATATGGCTTTAAACAGACCTTCAATACTTTTACAATGAATGCGTTTACAAAGCACTGGTGAAAACAAAATCCTCCTTCCCCAATATTATTACTACGTAAAGCGGATCCTAAAGAGACAATGTGCAGTGATGCGTTTGAGAGCACCAGGAAAGCTTGCATTAGAGATGTATGTTTTTGGACAGGTATAATTCTTACTCATTTTGTGTAGAATCAGTCGCTCACAGCACAAATGTTGTTGTTTTGTTTTAACAGGAATCAAAGTGCTTATAGAGCGCAGCAATAACTCAATGATTTTTTAAGTAAACATCATTCTTATAATGTATGATAGCTGCTCTATTTACAATTACAGATACAAAGTTTGAGTAATTTCTCAGTAGTTTCTCAGTGGGGCGCACAGAGACGGGACCACTTGATCCCAAATCCAATTCAGAGCGGGTTTTTTAACGTACTCCGTATTCTTATGCTTTTTAAACGCACTCATTCAATCAATCTCCTCCCCTTTTGACGAACTACCCTACACCAGTATTCCGCTGGTCTAGCTCTCTTTCAGCGCTGGATGCATTGCCCTCAGCCCGGACCCCTTACCCGGGCTTCGTACTTGACGGCAGCCGACAGGAGGGTGATGGCGCTCTCTTCTGAAATGCCCCTCTTGATGGTTTCCTGGCACAGCCTCTTGAGCCTGGTCTCTCTGTAGAACGTGGCCAGGTCTAACAGGCCTGGGAACAAGCAACACACACGCACACACACACACACACACATACACACACACACACACACACACACACACACACACACACACACACACCCTCAGTGCCAGCAGGGCCTTCACACATGCAGCTCTGGGCTTGGGCTCACCTATAGCGTCCTCTGGTGGCAGGTTGATGGTGTCCGTGTAGAGGTACTCCAGGAAGGCTCTGTACACCAGGTAGGAGAACTGGTGGATTTCAATGGCCTCTTCGTCACTTTCGTTCAGAAGGGCGCGGAAGTGTTCACATCTGACAGAGAAAATAGATAAAAAGGATAGCTTCTCTTCCAGGGCTATCCATGGCTTGACCTAAGACTAAACCTGAGACTAGGACTTTTCTTACGAGACACGTTACGATGTTGAGGATCCTCTCTGAGGTTCTTTTCAAATTTGTTACCAAAAGTTTCTGCAGTGTTTTGAATTTGTAATATTTACTGGTATTTGTATAACTAATAGCATTAATATAGCTGTATTCTATTATTATTAATATTATTCATAGTAGAAGTAGTAGTAATAGCAGTATCAGCCATAGCAGTAGCAACAGTAGCAGTGGTAACAGTAGCAGTAGCAACAGTAGCAGTAGCAACAGTAGCAGTAGCAACAGTAGCAGTAGCAACAGTAGCAGTAGTAGAAATGTTGTTGTATGGTGCATTCATACTTTTGACCATGTTTTAGTTGGTTTCTCTCTGCATTTACATGAATATTTTCTTACCATCGCTCCCATGACCCCAACACCACAGTGACACTCCCACTATTTTTATTTACTTTGTCCATTTTCTTCTGAATTTGTGAATCTGAAAAATGATCCATAGTCTGACCTGACCTTGGCCAAATATCTAAATGCGATTTTTCTGACAATCATTCCTATAAAAGGATTTTCAATGTCACGTTTTAGTGTTTTGTGTTTGTGGGAGAAAAAACACTTGAGGAAAGATGAGATAAGACAGGTTTGTTTGACAGTAGGAATAATAAAGAGCTCCCAAACACAAGATACCATAATCACGAATATCTTATGTTTAGAGAATAAATAAACTCTTGCGCCTCTGTACCATCAATTGTAAACATAGCTGTTACAGTCTTAGCTATAATTGCACTTTGGAGAACACACAGAAGATCAACGTTTTGGTATAAGGGACAAAACTCACTGTCAAACACTGTCAAATAATTATATTTATTCCAGAACACGCAAGAAATGATTTGTGTGATTTTACGACGTTTGCCTTATGGGTCACTTTTAGAAATTCAAACAGGAGCCTTTCTGCTCTGCTAAAGATTGGTTTTGCGCTTATTCTTTGTGGTAAAAAGCAGTTTCTTTTTTTCTCTTTCCAAGTGAGAACTTGCTTTAAAATCCTGTTTGTAGCAATCTCCCTTCGGGGCCTCAGATGGGAGTTTGTTGCTGGCAAAGGACTTCAATAATGACCATTTTTGCAATTTGCTGATTTGCAATTAGTGAAATTTTGATTAGATTACAAAGCATTGCAAACTAATGTGATGATGTTTGACAATCGCAGCATAGTATCTGACCGGAAAAAAAGTATGATGGTACCCAAATTTAGAAACGTAAATGAGGTCACATTTTGCATTTCCCCAAAGTGGGACGAATAAAGAATCTGAAGAAAAAGTTCTCACCAAAACTGAGATTAACTGTCATTGTTTGTGTGAAACAAGTGTGATGCAGCTGCGCATCTGAAACTAACAGCATGATTCAACAAAGGTCACAGGAGCTACACTACCGCTCAAAAGTTTGGGGTCACCCAAGTGTCACACTTATTCACCACCATACGCTGTGAAATGAATAGAAAATAGAGTCAAGACATTGACAAGGTTAGAAATAAAGATTTGTTTTACATCCAAATTTGCTTTCGTCAAAGAATCCTCCGTTTGCAGCAATTACAACATTGCACCAAAAACCAGACATTTGCAGCAAGAACAGTCATTTACCACATAACAGTGTATAGAGTGTATTTCTTTACAGTTAAGACTAGTTTAAAGTTATCTACAGCTTTTCCTTCAAAAATAAGGACATTTCAATGTGACCCCAAACTTTTGAACGGTAGTGTATGTGTTCTGGAACATAGTTGGAATGGTCCTATCATAATCATTGTTATGTTCCAGCTTGTGGCAAGAATAAACAAGATAATGCTGTAATGAAATATTAGTGTTACAAAAGATAACAAGTATGAGTCCATCTTTTGATTTACAAACCACAGGCTCAATGCTTCTAATGTGCCATACATGTTCCTTAGATTATATTAGAGCTGTCATACTGATCAGAACAGAAGGATTATTTGAAATGTAATGTAATTACTCTTTCTTCAAACCAGTAAATTAGGATCTGTCCAAGTCAGAAATACAGAACAAGGGAAGAACAACTGATCAGAGAGAAAGAGCCACAGCGGCACCACGAGCTGCAGGGCACTACCACTTTATCCTCTCCTGCATTAGGCAGTGTTAGGGAGTAACGGAATATCAGAGTACTCTTTCTGAGTAACTGTATTCCCTTACGGTTACTACTTTAAAGTATTTAGAATACAGTTACTTTTTGAAAAACACGGGAATACATATTTTCTCACATTATGTTTTAAGGTAAAAAAGGAAAAGAAAACATTAGAATATAATTTTACAGAAGAATACCCAAAGTGAAAAATCATTTTTTTCTGGCTGTTAAAGGGCAACTGTTGAAGCCCTTTGAGTTGTTTTACAAAAATAAACAACAAATTATCAAATAATTAGTTTTAAATAAAAGGGTTTTATAGGATAGAATCGGATTTATCTAAACATTTATTGAGATTACAAATATTTAGAAATGTAACTTTACGTTTTGTAAATAAAAATTATTTAAAATAAATATAAATACAAAAATAATAATTAAAAGTATAAACAAACGTATTCTCAGTATTCAGAATACAGGTACAACTTTTTCCAAATACTATACATAATACATTTTAAGTATTTTTAAATATTTTCCGTTTACATGAGTAGTTTTCTACCCGACACTGCTATTAGGGCAATAATAACTATAGTAGAACAATCCCAAGGTTAACAGGACACATTTTAAAAGAGTATTGTAAAAAAAGATTTTTAAAAGCTCACTATTCAGATTAAGTGAAAGGCACAGGAGGAGAAAAATGTAAAGTGACGACACTGGGAAGTGCTCATGGACGTAGTCTACGTCCTGTGTCCACCAGCCTTGGCTCATCTCAGCACTAATCTACCCAGTGCTGGATATTGGTTTGTTGTGGGTAAATGACTAGGATATGGCACCAGATAAAAAAGCGTAATGGAAATACAACCAGGTGGAGTAGTGTAGGGCCAAGCAGGGCTGGTGGAAACAGGACTGAAGTTACCAATACTAGCGCTGATCTGAAGATAAACACAGCCTTTTAATGAATTTGTCTAGTTTCCAATATAATAAAGCAACATATTTGCGTTTCATCTCATTGAAATTCTGTCTCCTCCCACCTCCAGTGCATTCTCCAGAGTCATCCTGTGCCCTTTCCCGCCTTTGCTTTACTTCATAACTCGTTCCCATTCTGGTCAAAGCTGTGCGGAGTCCACTTGTTCACATCTCGGGGTGTCTGCTGCATGTGATGTTGCAGCAGACAGTCTGGCTCCTTCCTACTGACAGTGCAAAAGAGCCAGGCCTGGAATGCACCGCTTGGTTATAAAAAGACAGAAAGGGAAACTATACGTCTGCTTTTGCTTCTCCGTGACATTGACAGGGAAAATGAGGAAACGGCGCGAGACAGATGGTGCTTAAATAAAGGCGACAACACGATAGACAGCTGCTATAGTCACAGTTACCGCCAATAAACAGCTGAAAGTATTTCTATGAAAACTAATGCCGTTGGTGAGAAGACATGATGATTTTTGATTTTATTTTTACAGAGCATAAGAATACAGAGAATGTACACAAAAACCTGGAGTATTCAAACAAGTCTGACCACTTCAAGGTACTGTCTAAATCCGTCTCGCTGAGAAGATGTGTGTTTACCTTTTTTTCACGATTAAACACCCTGATCCATTCTTTACAAAATTATGTCATTGTAAATATGAAGACCCATACATTGGTCAAGTCAATGTATGGGATTTTGCTCCTTTCCTGCTTTTGTCTCACGTAACAAAACTAAAACCTGCAAAAGGAGTCGGTGTCAAAATGAGTTGTCTTTGGGCTGTGACAAGTTGATTGATATTTTTTTGTACCTTAGTGTAAGAATACAGAGTAAGTTCAAACAGTGTACTCAGTTCGGTGGGATTATCTCTGCCTCTGTGTGCGCCTCGGAGAAGTTCCAGACTTGAGGATGCTTTCAATGCCATCTGGTAACTTTCCCTTATTCATCAAATTGTATAACTATAATCGTAAATCAAACACTGCCATCATACGTACATACATTATAAGCATATGGCCGGCAAATGTAATCACACATTACGTTGGGTATTTGTTTTTCAAACTTCATTGAATTTCCTTTGCATAACATAAAAACAACAAAACCGTCCAAATACTTCGATGTTTATTATAACCCTGGTTTTTTCCTTTTGCTCTCAAATGCATCACTGCATCACAGAATCCGGATTATGTACAAGTATTTACGTGCAGCTCAATCACCAGCACCATTTTCTATTGCATTACATTGGAATATGTGGAGGAATCAGTTTTCACTAGAGCTTTGTAAGTGCACTCTGTGTTTGCATCTATGGGTCCCCCACTCACCTGATTTTCAACAAGGCTTTGTGGACGTGGATGCATTTTCCGTCCACAAGGAACTTGAGGTCTGAGATCTCTGGACTGTCAAACTCCTTCTTCAGAGACTGGGCCACGGTCAAGTAGTCATCCCCATCTGACAAGCACGCATGGACATCATCAGTTATACCACAGAAAGGACATGGATATGTCAAAGGAAAATGAAAACTCTCTCCAAATCTAACAGCTTCTCTGTCTCCATCCATAACACATCTGTCCTCCCCTCTCCTCAGGTCAAGAGTCTGGGTGTCATCCTCGACAGTTCACTCTCCTTCCAATCTCACATCAATAACATCACTCGGTCTGCCTACTTCCACCTGCGCAATATCTCTCGTCTCCGCCCCTCTCTCACCCCCCACACCACCGCCATCCTCGCCCACAGCCTCGTCACCTCAAGGATTGACCACTGCAACTCTCTTCTCTTTGGCCTCCCCAACAAACCCCTCCAGAAACTGCAGCTCCTCCAAAACTCTGCAGCTCTCATCATCACCCGGACCCCCACAGCTGACCACATCCCCCCCACCTCACCCGGACCCCCACAGCTGACCACATCACCCCCACATCACCCGGACCCCCACAGCTGACCACATCCCCCCCACCTCACCCGGACCCCCACAGCTGACCACATCCCCCCCACCTCACCCGGACCCCCACAGCTGACCACATCACCCCCACCTCACCCGGACCCCCACAGCTGACCACATCACCCCCACATCACCCGGACCCCCACAGCTGACCACATCCCCCCCACCTCACCCGGACCCCCACAGCTGACCACATCCCCCCCACCTCACCCGGACCCCCACAGCTGACCACATCCCCCCCACCTCACCCGGACCCCCACAGCTGACCACATCCCCCCCACCTCACCCGGACCCCCACAGCTGACCACATCCCCCCCACCTCACCCGGACCCCCACAGCTGACCACATCCCCCCCACCTCACCCGGACCCCCACAGCTGACCACATCCCCCCCACCTCACCCGGACCCCCACAGCTGACCACATCCCCCCCACCTCACCCGGACCCCCACAGCTGACCACATCACCCCCACCTCACCCGGACCCCCACAGCTGACCACATCACCCCCACCTCACCCGGACCCCCCACAGCTGACCACATCACCCCCACCTCACCCGGACCCCCACAGCTGACCACATCACCCCCACCTCACCCGGACCCCCACAGCTGACCACATCCCCCCCACCTCACCCGGACCCCCACAGCTGACCACATCACCCCCACATCACCCGGACCCCCACAGCTGACCCACATCCCCCCCACCTCACCCGGACCCCCACAGCTGACCACATCACCCCCACATCACCCGGACCCCCACAGCTGACCACATCCCCCCCACCTCACCCGGACCCCCACAGCTGACCACATCCCCCCCACCTCACCCGGACCCCCACAGCTGACCACATCCCCCCCACCTCACCCGGACCCCCACAGCTGACCACATCACCCCCACATCACCCGGACCCCCACAGCTGACCACATCCCCCCCACCTCACCCGGACCCCCACACAGCTGTTATTCTGGAGTGGAATTCGGTGTGCCGCAGGGTTCGGTACTCGGACCGATTCTTTTTACTCTCTACATGCTGCCACTGGGAAACATTATTAAAAAGCATGGAATTAATTTCCACTGCTATGCAGATGACACACAGCTTTATCTGTCGATGAAGCCTAATCAGACAGATCAGCTAGAAAAGCTCAGTGCCTGCATAAAGGACCTTAAAATGTGGATGACTCTTAACTTCCTACTTCTCAACCCGGAGAAGACAGAAGTGATCCTACTCGGTCCGAAGCGCCTGCGTGACTCCCTCACTAACCAGATGGTTACTCTCGATAATGTCAGTATAATACCCAGTAACACTGTGAGGAATCTTGGAGTCATTTTTGACCAAGAACTCTCCTTCAAGGCTTATATAAGCCAAGCAACTAAAACGGCGTACTTCCACTTACGGAACATCGCTAAAATTAGGAATTTCCTTCCTAAAAGTGACGCGGAAAAACTCATTCACGCGTTTGTCACCTCAAGGCTTGACTACTGTAACGCTTTACTGGCAGCGTGCCCTAAAGCCTCTTTGAAGAGCTTCCAGCTCGTTCAGAATACAGCAGCTAGGATCTTAACAGGTACCAAAAGGAGGGAGCACATAACTCCGGTGTTAAAATCACTCCACTGGCTCCCTGTGGAGTACAGAATAAAGTTTAAAATCCTACTCTTAACATATAAAGCCATAAATGGCTTGGCTCCTTCTTATCTCCAAGACACGTTAGTGTCGTATCAACCAAGTCGAGCGTTGCGCTCACAAAACGCCAGACGTCTGGTGGTCCCTAAGGTCTCAAAGGTCACTGTTGGTGGCAGAGCATTTAGCTACCAAGCTCCTTTACTGTGGAATCAGCTTCCCATTTATGTTAAGGAAGCAGATACGGTCTCCACATTCAAGGCCAGGCTTAAAGCACTTTACTTTAATCTAGCATATAATTAGGTAATATATAATATGTAGTGTATATATTATATATATATGCTGTATTATGTTATATATTATGTTATATATTATTCAATAATGTATTGTGTTATGTTGTATATTATGTTATATATTATGCTGTATGTTATTCTTTATTCAAGGCTAGGTTTAAAACAGTCCTCTTTAGTTTAGCATATGGCTAGGAAGGTAAGACTCGGAGAAGGTTAAACTCCTCAGACTGTCAGTCAAGCTGCATAGGGAGTCAGTTTGCTGGGAGAAGTATGGTAACTTGAGCACTATCCTCTCCTCCTTCCTACTTTATCTGTTTAGCATTTTTAGGATTCTGACTGTAGTTTGTTCATTGCTATTCACCCGTTGTCCCATTGTCTGTTTCATGGTACGATGACGGGATCTCTGAGCCTGGCCTCTTCCATCTACACCTGCGGACTGCCCCGCCCGACCCGCCTGGGAGTGCTTCGGTCCTGCACCGGACCTGTCCACGTTCAGCGTCCACTGGTCCACGTTCTGTAGCTAGCTTAGGTCCTAGATCATTAGTCTGTCCGTCCGGAGGAGCGGATCCCTTTCTCATATGGGTCTCCCTCCCTGTGGGTTTCCCTAGTTCTCCTCCAAGGTTTCTCACTTTTTCCCACTGGGTTTTTTAAGAGTTTTTCCTTGTCGATGCAGGAGGGTCTTGTTGGACAGTTAGTGTCCAACAGAAAGGATTGGTGATGATCAGGACACTTTAGCATTCTACAACATGTATGGGACATTTTCTTCTGTGTGTGCTTTATACTGTATTCTTCATGTGTTTTAACTGTTGATTCTCTGACCTGTGTTGGTGATTTCAATGGTTTTGTTAAGTCCTCTGAGATGACTTCTGTTGTGACCTAGGGCTATACAAGAATAAATTGTATTGTATTGTATTGTATAGCTGACCACATCCCCCCCACCTCACCCGGACCCCCACAGCTGACCACATCCCCCCCACCTCACCCGGACCCCCACAGCTGACCACATCACCCCCACCTCACCCGGACCCCCACAGCTGACCACATCACCCCCACCTCACCCGGACCCCCACAGCTGACCACATCCCCCCCACCTCACCCGGACCCCCACAGCTGACCACATCACCCCCGTACTACGACTCCACTGGCTTCCTGTTAAAAAACGCATCAACTTCAAAATACTCCTGACCACTTTCAAAGCACTTCACAAGCTGGCCCCTCTGTACTTATCTGACCTCCTCCACCCTGCCACTCCTGCTCCTCCTCCACCCTGCCACTCCTGCTGCTCCTCCACCCTGCCACTCCTGCTGCTCCTCCACCCTGCCACTCCTGCTCCTCCTCCACCCTGCCACTCCTGCTGCTCCTCCACCCTGCCACTCCTGCTGCTCCTCCACCCTGCCACTCCTGCTGCTCCTCCACCCTGCCACTCCTGCTCCTCCTCCACCCTGCCACTCCTGCTGCTCCTCCACCCTGCCACTCCTGCTGCTCCTCCACCCTGCCACTCCTGCTGCTCCTCCACCCTGCCACTCCTGCTCCTCCTCCACCCTGCCACTCCTGCTCCTCCTCCACCCTGCCACTCCTGCTGCTGCTCCTCCACCCTGCCACTCCTGCTGCTGCTCCTCCACCCGGCCACTCCTGCTCCTCCTCCACCCTGCCACTCCTGCTCCTCCTCCACCCTGCCACTCCTGCTCCTCCTTCACCCTTCCACTCCTGCTCCTCCTCCACCCTGCCACTCCTGCTGCTCCTCCACCCTGCCACTCCTGCTGCTCCTCCACCCTGCCACTCCTGCTCCTCCTCCACCCTGCCACTCCTGCTCCTCCTCCACCCTGCAACTCCTGCCACTCCTCCACCCTGCCACTCCTGCTCCTTCTCCACCCTGCCACTCCTGCTCCACCCTGCCACTCCTGCTCCTCCTCCACCCTGCAACTCCTGCCACTCCTCCACCCTGCCACTCCTGCTCCTCCTCCACCCTGCCACTCCTGCTCCTCCTCCACCCTGCCACTCCTGCTCCTCCTCCACCCTGCCACTCCTGCTCCTCCTCCACCCTGCAACTCCTGCTCCTCCTCCACCCTGGAACTCCTGCCACTCCTCCACCCTGCCACTCCTGCCCCTCCTCCACCCTGCCACTCCTGCTCCTCCTCCACCCTGCCACTCCTGCTGCTCCTCCACCCTGCCACTCCTGCTCCTCCTCCACCCTGCCACTCCTGCTCCTCCTTCACCCTTCCACTCCTGCTCCTCCTCCACCCTGCCACTCCTGCTGCTCCTCCACCCTGCCACTCCTGCTGCTCCTCCACCTTGCCACTCCTGCTGCTCCTCCACCCTGCCACTCCTGCTCCTCCTCCACCCTGCCACTCCTGCTCCTCCTCCACCCTGCAACTCCTGCCACTCCTCCACCCTGCCACTCCTGCTCCTTCTCCACCCTGCCACTCCTACCTCCACACTCCGCTCCTCCTCCACTCTCACACTCTCCCTCCCCGCAGCCAGATTCATCACCGTGGGACACAGAGCCTTCAGCCACTCTGCCCCCCAGCTCTGGAACTCTCTCCCCCCTGACCTCCGTACCATTGACTCTCTTCCACAGAAGTGAGTAGTTAAATTCTGCTAGATATATCTTTCCATGACGCTATAGTCCTCCAAAGTTTGAAAACAGAGCATGTATACAGAAGGGGCGGCATGAATATGTTTATGCCGATTTGTTAAGTTGTAAGATATAAGCGTGGATGATGAACAAAACATCTCCAGGTCTGTTGGTTAAAATCTCAAAAAAATAAATATGTGTCCTTTAAAAAAACAGGTGAAACTCAGGAAATTAAAATACTGTTCAAGAGTCCATTTACAAACAATATCGATGTGAACATAATTCTTGACTCATTACACGCACAGTGATATCTTTATTTGTTATTATCTGGTTAATTACACAGCTTGTAAAAACTCCAAATAAAATATCTCGTTTAATTTTAATATTTTGATAATGGACTAAACTAAGAAATGTTCTTTTGAGAATAATAGACAGTGATTAACGGCATGTTCTCATGAGGAAGGACTTTATACATAACTGATCAATACTCGTGATCCCGTGACCAAGGAAGGCATCCTGTTTGTTACTCCCGCAGTTCCAACATTCCTCCTCTAAGGCATTCAGCCGCTGGGTTCAATGCAGACTGGATTTAAGTAAAAATTCCTCACCAAACACAAACATTTTCATAACCTGTTGCAACCTCATAAAAGCACACAATCATTCTCCTTCAAGCAACATATATCAGAATAAGTCATGTATCGCCGTGACCCAAAAATGGACCATAGACAAGGCAATAGAATGAGTATGACTGAGTCTGCAGGTCATCACTAATACTAATAATGACGTAAACAATTACATTTTGTTTTAATACATCTTATATAATCTTTTATGAGAATGGAACTCATAATAGTGACTTCCTTTAAAATGAGAAAGTAAGTCACTATTGTGTACACAGCCGCCCTGGGGCCAACAGACAGAAGAAAGGCTGCCAATCTTCTTTTTCATGCATTTATTTACTTATTTTCATATGATGCATTTATGGATTTTATTTTCAATTCATAGCTAGTTTTTTTCCTCCCTTCTTTCTCTATCTTTTCATATTTTGTTTAATTTTATTTAACAGACATGTGAGTGAATTCATTGTTAATAGATCTATGTGCAGCACTTTGTAAACTGTTTATAAAAGGTGCAAGACAAAGTGGATTGGATTATTTCTAAAGGTCTCCCTTGAACGTAACTATTCTCGACACAAAAGCAGCACAAAGGCCACAACAAAACCTTTTTATTTGAGCCTTACCCACAGACAGGAGGTGCCATGTGACGGCCGGTGTGGCGAAGCAGGCGAACACGTCATCAGTGCTGCTGAAGTGAGTGAGATGGGGGCTCGCCACGGCCTGACCGCGGCACTGCCCCCACATCAGCACCTGACCACTCTGCGTCCTGGCTGCAGACGTGTGGCTGGTGTGGCAGGCGGCCACTTCCACCATCCTGGGACATCGCCATAGTATAAGAGAATCAGTCAAAAAATCCAGTTAAAAAATACCAGGAATACTGGTGTTTCTGCAGGAGAGGAAGCAATGACACTATAAACGACTACCAAGAATAACTTACAGGTGAATTGACCCAGTTTATGATATAGACACATGTAAAGTGACATATGCCAAGCCTTGTTATAATTGTTATGATTTTAGCAATAAGTAGTTGTGATGTTTTGCAATGTGACTCTTGATATCCTGTTTTAAAAGTCTAATCAGGCAAAATATGAAGGAATACAAAAAGCAACATATGAAGCCATTACCTCATACACAATTCCCACACGTTTCTAAAATTGTTTATAGAGTTATAACTTTCATACAACCATTTTGACTGCAAACATTTCCAAAAAAAGTTTAAAAGTAATGTCTATCGTTTCACAATTCTGATCTGAGTTGTGCCAATGTTTATATATTTAAATATAAATTATAAAAAAGATGAGATGTCACATTTGAACAACTCACAACAAGAACAAAGATAATTGTGCCGTTGACTAATATTCAAAATAAACTTAACCCAATTTGATCAGTTGGATCAATTCAATTAGCCCTAACCACAAATTCAAGGGATCTTATCTTCAGTCCCTTTTTTATTTGCAAAGAACTTGAATAATTGTACTCTGAATAAATGAACTTGAATAATTGTACTCTGAATAAATGAACTTGAATAATTGCTAATAGCGATTACAAAAAAAACTACTTCAATTTGATTGCGATTTTTCGTGTGGCCTGACATGGCTCCCCAAACTCACCGCTCCTTGTCTGTGTTTATGAGCGTGGGCAGGGCTTGGTTGCTCTTGTTGCCTGTTCCCAGCTGGCCGTAGGAGTTGGCTCCCCAGGCGTAGACCAGGCCTTCGTCTGTGAGGGCCAGAGTGTGGGCGTATCCACACGCCACCTGCACAGAGCGCACATCCATGGTGGTTATGTTCTTGCAATAGACTGTATATACATGGACTATGCTAACCCTGCTAACTCAATGAAACCCAATAGGGAAGTGCTCATGGACATAGTTTTGCTCTAACTTGCTCTTGTCCTATTGTTTTTTCATACTGAAAAGTAAAGTCCACTAGCTCAAGTTTTTGTTTGTGTCACCCTTACCATATTGTGTTTTTGGCTTAGCGCTCTCTATTTTCCTGGTGTCTTGAGCACTAATAGCTGACCAATCAGGATCCTTAGTGGCAGAATTTGGCTTTGCTACCAACAACATTTGCATACATTTGAAAGTTCATTCTATTATAAGCAAGAAAGCAGGACCAACCTGGACCACACCCACGCCCTGAAGAGCTGCGATCCGGCAAGGCGTCTGCTGGTTACCGTTGTTCCCCAAACCCAGCTGTCCGTTGCAGTTGTAACCCCAGCCATAAATCTAGACGGGGAAAAAAATATGTTATAATCACATAGTGATAATGCGGGGGGCGACAGTAGCTCAGTTGGTAGAGCATTGGCCTTAAGGCCAGAAGGTTGTGGGTTCAATTCCCACCTCTGCACCTTCTCCATCGACTCCCACTGATGACTGCTGTCGTTGTGTCCTTGGGCAAGACACTTAACCCCACTTTGCCCAAAGCCCCCACTGAAAGATCAAGGCTATGCTCACGCTCAGAGAGCAGCCGTCCTCCTGTGGACTCACCACCTGCAGAGGGTCAGTGAGGGGCTGGTGCTATGAGACTTGGGTGGCATCTCTGATTGCCACCCCCCTGACCCAGAAATGGATTAAAGGGTAGAAAATGGATGGATGGATGGAGTGATAATGCAATGTTTTTTTTCAGATATTATAATTGGGATTTGAATAATACATTTTGCGTGGTCCAGGGGGGGCTCCCCCCTGGACTGCCACCTTAACGTGGTGGGGGAGTTTGAGTACTCGGATGATCCTGGGAGCTATGCTGTCTGGGGCTTCATGCCCCTGGTAGGGCCTCCCATGGCAGACAGGTCTCGGGTGACGAGTCAGACAAAGAGCAGTCCAGAAGACACCATGGACAGCACTCATACGAAACCAGTGACGTCGCCCGGCATGGCGCAGCCGGGGCCCCACCCTGGAGCCAGGCCTGGGGTCGGGGCTCGTAGGCGAGCGCCTGGTGGCCGGGCCTTAGCCCACGGGGCCCGGCCGGGCTCAGCCCGAATGGACGACGTGGGCAGTCCCTCCTGTGGGCCCACCACCTGCAGAGGGGTCCGTGGTGGCATGGTGCAGAGAGGACTGGGCAGCAGTCGAAGGCGGAGACCTCGACGACCCAGTCCGCACACAGAACAGCTGGCTCTTGGGACGTGGAACGTCACCTCACTGGGGGGGAAGGAGCCCGAGCTTGTGGGGGAGGTTGAGCGATACCGACTAGAGATAGTCGGCCTCACCTCCACACACAGCTTGGGCTCTGGAACCCAACTCCTTGAGAGGGGTTGGACGCTCCACTTTTCTGGTGTTTCCCGCGGGGAGAGGCGGCGAGCTGGGGTGGCCATTCTCATTGCCCCCCATCTCAGCCGCCACGTGTTGGAGTTCTCCCCGGTGAATGAGAGGGTCGCGTCCCTCCGCCTCCGGGTGGGGGACAAGTCTCTCACTGTTGTGACGGCCTACGGGCCTAACGGCAGTGCAGAGTACCCGGCCTTCTTGGAGTCCTTGGGAGGGGTACTGGACGGTGCACCGCCCGGGGACTCCGTTATTCTCCTGGGGGACTTCAACGCCCATGTGGGAAGCGCCAGTGACACTTGGAGAGGGGTGATCGGGAAGAGCGGCCCCCCTGATCTGAACCCGAGCGGTGTTCAGTTGTTGGACTTCTGTGCCAGTCACAGTTTGTCCATCACGAACACCATGTTCGAGCACAAGGGTGTCCACCAGTGCACGTGGCACCAGGACACCCTAGGCCGGAGGTCGATGATCGACTTTGTTGTCGTATCATCTGACCTTCGACCGCGTGTCTCGGACACTCGGGTAAAGAGAGGGGCGGAGCTGTCAACCGATCATCACCTGGTCGTGAGTTGGATCCGCTGGCAGGGGAAGAAGCCGGTCAGACCTGGCAGACCCAAGCGTATAGTGAGGGTCTGCTGGGAACGTCTCGCTGAGCCCCCTGTCAGACGGACTTTCAACTCACACCTCCGGGAGAGTTTCTCCCAGGTCCCGGTGGAGGAGGGGGACATGGAGTCCAAGTGGACCATGTTCTCTGCCTCAATCGCTGATGTGGCGGCTCGTAGCTGTGGTCGCAAGGTCTCTGGTGCTGGTCCCGGCGGCAACCCCCGAACCCGGTGGTGGACACCGGCAGTAAGGGATGCTGTCAGGCTGAAGAAGGAGTCCTATCGAGCCATGATGGTTCGGGGGACTCCTGAGGCAGCTGTCCAGTACCGGCAGGCCAAGCGTGCCGCGGCCCGGGCTGTTGCAGAGGCAAAAACCCGGGACTGGGAGGAGTTCGGAGAGTCCATGGAGCATGACTATCGGTCGGCCTCAAAGAAATTCTGGCAAACCGTCCGGCGCCTCAGGAGGGGGAAGCAGTTCTTTGCCAACACCATGTACGGTGCGGGTGGAGAGCTGCTGACCTCGACGGGGGATATTGTCGGGCGGTGGAAGGAATACTTTGAGGTTCTCCTCAATCCCCCCGTCACGTCCTCTGTTTCAGAGGCAGAGGCTGAGGATGTTGGGGCGGATACATTCATCTCCCTGGCTGAGGTCACCAAGGTGGTTGGTAGCCTCCATGGTGGCAAAGCTCCGGGTGTGGATGAGATCCGCCCTGATTATCTAAAGTCTCTGGATGTTGTAGGACTGTCTTGGCTGACACGTCTCTGCAACATCGCGTGGCGATCGGGGGCGGTGCCAATGGAGTGGCAGACCGGGGTGGTGGTCCCTCTCTACAAGAAGGGGGACCGGAGGGTGTGTTCCAATTATCACACTCCTCAGCCTCCCCGGTAAGGTCTACTCCAAGGTACTGGAGAGGAGGCTACGGCCGATGGTCGAATCTCGGATCCAGGAGGAGCAGTGTGGTTTTCGTCCCGGTCGCGGAACACTGGACCAGCTCTATACTCTCCATCGGATACTCGAGGGTTCATGGGAGTTCGCCCAACCTGTCCACATGTGCTTTGTGGATTTGGAGAAGGCGTTCGACTGTGTTCCCCGGGGTGTCCTTTGGGGGGTTCTCCGGGAGTACGGGGTCGGGGATCCTCTGCTGAGGGCCATCCGGTCCCTGTATGACCAGAGCCAGAGCTGTGTTCGCATTGCCGGCAGTAAGTCAGACCTGTTCCCGGTGAATGTTGGCCTCCGACAGGGCTGCCCTTTGTCACCGGTTCTGTTCACTGTATTTATGGACAGAATATCTAGGCGCAGCCAGGGGTCGGAGGGGGTCCGGTTCGGGGACCACAGGATTTCATCTCTGCTGTTTGCGGACGATGTTGTCCTGTTGGCTCCAACGAACCAGGACCTGCAGCATGCACTGCGACGGTTTGCAGCCGAGTGTGAAGCGGCTGGGATGAGAATCAGCACCTCCAAATCTGAGGCCATGGTGCTCGACCGGAAAAAGGTGCCCTGCCCTCTGCAGGTGGGTGGAGAGGTCCTTCCTCAAGTGGAGGAGTTCAAGTATCTCGGGGTCTTGTTCACGAGTGAGGGAAGAATGGAGCGTGAGATTGACAGGCGGATCGGTGCAGCGTGCGCAGTGATGCGGTCGCTGTATCGGACCGTTGTGGTAAAGAGGGAGCTGAGCCGAAAGGCAAAGCTCTCGATTTACCGGTCAATCTTCGTTCCCTCCCTCACCTATGGTCATGAGCTTTGGGTAATGACCGAAAGAACGAGATCGCGGATACAAGCGGTCGAAATGAGCTTCCTCCGCAGAGTGGCTGGGCGCTCCCTTAGAGATAGGGTGAGGAGCTCAGTCACACGGGAGGAGCTCGGAGTAGAGCCGCTGCTTCTCCACGTCGAGAGGAACCAGTTGAGGTGGCTCGGGCATCTGTTCCGGATGCCTCCTGGACGCCTCCCTGGGGAGGTGTTCCGGGCACGTCCCACCGGGAGGAGGCCCCGCGGAAGACCCAGGACACGCTGGAGGGACTATGTCTCTCAGCTGGCCTGGGAACGCCTTGGGGTCCCCCCGGACGAGCTGGAGGAGGTGTGTGTGGATAGGGAAGTCTGGGCGTCTCTGCTTAGACTGCTGCCCCCGCGACCCGGCAACGGATGAAGAGGAAGAAAATGGATGGATGGATGGCATTTTGCGTGGTTTGTCATTTGTCTTTACTTTTTTTGGACATGGGAAGCATGGTTAAGTTTCCACATTCTGGATAACACTGGACTCGAGAGAATTTTCTCTGCACCTCCGTGTTTTTTGTGTGTTAAAAAGTAAATAATTTTCATGGCAACATTCACCATGGGAGTCATTGCTATGGCAACTGTTCAGCCAGGGTAGTTACCATTGCCATGGCAACGGTTAGTCTGTGGCAACCATCACCATGGTGACTATGGCCATGCCATTTGTTACCATGGCAACGGACTGACAATCTGGGGTATTGTTTCAATTCAAATTGCAACTTATTATTTGGGAGTTTGTTTCCAGTTGCCATAATGATGGTTATCACAATAGCAGTGGATAGCACTCTCGCTTCTCAGCAAGAAGATCCTGGGTTCGGATCCCAGTCGGAACAGGTCCCAAAACAGTTTGTTTCCAGTTGCCATAGTGTCTGTTGCCAGGGTAGTTTCCATATCAACAGTTACCATAACTACGGTTACCATGGCGACCATTGCTACGGCAATCACTATGGCAACTACCATCACTACGTGAACTCCCAAAAAATAGTGATGATGAACAGTCACCATAGTATAGTACAGTTCCTATACTATTTTTAGTAATAATTTTATATCTAATTCTCCATCACGCACCTCTCCGTTGTCCAGCACAGCCATGGTGCAGAGCTGTCCACAGGCCACGTTCACCACAACCTTGTTTTGCAAACAGCTGCTCACTCGCCGGGGGGTGGGCTGGTTGGCTGTGGAGCCTGAACCCACCTGACCCGAGTTGTTGTATCCCCAGGCGAACACCTGATAAATATGAATTCTATCACATTACATTGTAAACATGCACACCACATGCACAGTTATTGTGCAGGTCCGTGGAGGTCAGAGCTGTTCTGGTTTAAGAAGACTTTTCTTCTTAGGGATTTGTAAAATCTCCTTTTATGAATATTTAAGCAGGTCAGCAGGAGAGTTCTCTCATCATTGGATAACTTTCATTGGACAAATGCTTAGTAAACTAAATACATGGACAGGTTAGCTTCAAAGAATTGCCGAACAGTATATAAATATACAGTGTTGGCAACATTTTTTGCATTTTTTTGGGTTATACCATACGTGACATAAAAAAAAGAAAAAAAAGTAGCAACCATAGACAGGAATCAGGAGTGGACTGACCGAGTGCTGTTGTCACCATAGTGTTTGCTGAATGCGGAAAAAGACGAGATGAACACAAACAAGCAGGAGCCAATTTCTTTATATGGCCGTTTGTTCCAACAGGGTTAGCTTTGTGCTGTGAAAAGGATGTGTTGCTGATATTGATGCTAAGGCAAGCTGTTTCTTTTGCGAATGATTGGTCAATCCTTATATGGCTCCTATGTAAAAAGAAATTTAAACTTTATTTCACCAGGAAGTCCCACTGAGATTAAAGAATCTCTCTTCAAGAGAGTCCTGGCCCAAGAGAGAGGGTAGCTATTGTACATGTTTTTAGATCAATTTCTGACTGTCCCAATAAAAAGAGTTCTGTTTAAGCAACATTTTTAGAAAACATGTTATCTTTCATAAACTGAAAGCTGATTGGCGGGGCTTCTCTTCTTCACATTTCTGTCTGAAAAATCTCATGTAAAGATGTGGAAACTAGTGATGTGACAAAAGCGAGGAACTTGTGACATGGATTCAATATAGTGCTTTAGAGTACTAAAGAGTACTAAAGAGTTTGTATACTTTAGAGTTTTCGGTTTTGGAGTGCTGCAGTTTTAAGCAAAAGGATTGTCAGAGCAATGGTGTTTTGAATGAGAAAACAATTAATCCTAAAAACTCATTCGGTTTAAGATTAAGGTTATGGTTTAACTCAAAATATGACATACTTGTATGACATATAATATGTCATACAAGTATGTCATATTTTATTTTAAAGTTTGGCTATAATAATAATAATATTGCTCTCATTCCTCAACTTTTTGTAACAAGACTTCACCTGTCTGATGTAAAACATAATAATCGTAAACATATTTACCAGTGGTTCTGTCCCACCAAGACAATTAATCAATTATATAAAAAATGTATTAAAGCACACACAAAAACAGTAACAATTGTAACTTATGCCTTTTTTGTAGCTGGATCCATGGTTACGCAGACTACGCACTGCACTGGATTTTAGGGCGTGGCTTTGCTATTGTGCTGATTGTGTGTTCACTAAAGTGGGCTGCACCTCTCCATCTGTGGTCAGGGCGATGCTGTGGTGGGACCCGCAGGCCACCTCGGTGACCCTCTTGCTGAGCAGGTTGGTGGACACGAGGGCAGGAGTCAGGCCGTGGTTGGTGGTTCCATTGCCCAGTTGACTGTAACCATTATGTCCCCAGGCAAACACCTCACCATCTGAAAGAGCGGCGGGCAAACATGTGAAGCACAAGTGCTAACCACTGCAACTTTTCTGTATACATGTAAATGAGGAATATGAGACTATTTTCAACATTTTACTTTTCCAAATCAACAAATTGGGTTTTTTCATTAAATCAATAAAATGTCTCTGAAGTTAATAATTATCAATCTTATATTAGGCACTTGTTTGTCAGTCTTAGATTGTGTGCACCAGATTAATGGCATATGACACCCCCAGCCGGCAAAGCATTATGATATTGCAATTAATCTACACATATCTATCTAACTGTGCCTTCATCACAGATTATCGGGAAAAGACTTCTACTACTGAAAATGAATCATTTATATCTTCCTTGTTCTGTTAGTCAAGGTCAAGCTGTGGATATTTGTTTTTTGTGAGGAAAATAAACACACACATATTTGTTGTTGAATGTTATACAGTAATAATACATCATTAACTTTTGTTTTTTGATACAGAAAGTTCACAAACAAGAAACAAAGCACTACGAAGTGTATGGGACAAATAGTCATACACTACACAAATCTGGTAAATAGAATGCCAGTGTTGAAACAAAACCACAAGAAGCAAAGCAGAGGAAACATTCAACATGTGGAAGAAGGTGCTGTGGTCAGTTTCTCTCTTTGGTCCAAATACAACACCACTCATCCTCAGTGCACCCTCCACAGAGTCAAATATGGGGGTGGCAGCATCATGTTATGGGGCTGCTTTTCTTCAGCAGGGACAGAGAAGTGTATCAGAGTTGATGGGAAGGTGGAAGGAGCCAAATACAGGACATTATTGGAAGAAAAGCTACTGGAGCTTGGGATTCCACAGGGTATTAGCTCATGCTGTATGAATACTGGCGCATGCCCTACTTTTCATTTTTCTATTTCTTTTTATCAATAATATAATCATGTAAAATATTGCTTTCATTTCACAGTGTGTTACTTGTGTGTGAACTTTTATCGAAAAAAAATAAAAACACTATCTTTGTGTAAGTGGAGGTAAACATGGAAAAACGTTTTTAAAAAAAAGCACATTTGGCTCTTGCTGCCGTCCTCGCAGAAACAGAGCCTATAAGCGTCCTGTCTAATGCTCTGTGCTGAGGTCTCCTGAGGAAAACCTTTTTAGTGCACAGATGAAAGCGGCTCGTCTGGAATACCTGCAGTGGCGATGACCACGTGGGGCCCGGTTCCGTAGCTCAGAGACACAATCTTCTTTCCGCAGAGAACATCGATCCTCCGCGGCTCGATGGTGCTTTGAAGGTCTCCGAGCCCTAAGCAGCCGCTGCAGTTGGTGCCCAGTGCAAAGACCTACAAACAAGACGCAGACATTTCCCTGTGAGAATGGTGAGCCCGGCGAAGAGGAGCTGAATCCTGTCATGTTAGGATTTCTTCTGCTACTCTTGGGAACACAGGAAATACACATAAGAGCCATTGGTTCATGGGGCGAATGACCAATGTCCATAAATTTGAATAAACGTCCCAGATCACCACTCATCGTTTGCATCTGAGTTTTCTTTCTCTACCTTCTTTGTTTTGTTTTACATATATTAGTATTTTACGACTTTATATTTTGATTCAATATTTGCCTTTGTTTGTTTTTTATTGAATTTTTTTATTTACGTATTCATTCTTATTTCTTTCACATCTTTTTTCTGTATACTTTAAATTGACTCAGCTTGTTCATTTAATTACTATGGCTTTTATTTCTCTGTGCAGCACCATAGTTTATTATATTCAATGTGCTCTAAAAATAAAGCCGATTGGATTGTATAGGGAAATCTTTAAAATGATCTGAGGTCTGTCCTTTGTGTGAAAAACATGCTTTTTGGTTGACGCCGTTAGTGAACATGAGGAGGTTTGCTAAGTTCATCTGCCCAGAACAAAGCAGAGCACAGGATTTAACATGCAGAAGGAAATGGGAGGAGTGAGAGGAGAGGAGTGAGAGCTTAGAGAGGGGAGGAAGATAAGAGATTGAACAGATCTCTTCATGGAGACACAATAAATCTGAAAAATCTGCAAAGAGGTGCAAGCCTGTCCAAATGACCTTCTGTTGGACCTTATAACGGACAATTCAATTCTGTATTTTACAATCCTCATGTTATTCATCCAAAATAAACTCATCATCTAAAATAATAGTAATGTTCCAATTACTCTACATATGAGACATCATATGCTATGTTAGATTGCATATAATATATATTATGGTGTTTACTAACTTTCTACAAACATAACCAAAATGCCAACATAAAGATAAGAAACAGAAGCATTATAAACCGAGTGTGTCATATCTGGCCAAATCAGGGGTGGCCAAAAACACGGTTGCCTGAAACAAGTGGACTAATTTGTGCAAAGTGAAAATGACATTGTCATTGTGCATCACATTTGCTTTAAAGATTTTTGCTTTATAGATAGAAAACAAAATCAAGGAATCAAAATAGTATACTATATTTGTATAATTTCTTTAATTCTGTTTTTAGTCCAATAAAATGTGTTTACTTTTAGTTAAATAGAGCAGGAATATCCAACTTTCAAACCGAAAACTGGTTCCTGGCTCTATACTTTGGTCCGCCTGCATGTATGTAGGCTACGTTCACACTTGGAGTGGTTCACTCAGGACCAATTCTGTTTCACTTAGGGCAAAAATGCTTAATTTGCGGGTGAACAAGTGAACATGTGTCCACAAGTTACTTAAGTCAGTTTATAATTGTATTACCAGACTTGGTCCAGTTAAAGTGAACTAGACTGACAAGTCTTCCTGTTAGATTTGAGTGCTGCTTTTGACACTTTTAAAACTTTTTTTGTTCAGAAAAAACTGAAATAATTGTGTTTGGTCCTCTGAAACAAAGCAAGCGATATCTGTCATCTATAGTCCCTCTCCCTAAAACCTTTGAATCAGGTCAGAAAGCTGTAGGTAATAACAAGCTCAGACTTAAATTTAAAAACAGCCAGGGATTGGCCCCCTGCTAGGACTTTGAGAAAAATCTGGAACACTCTTCCTGAAAATGTGAGACAGGCTTCTACTCTGACAATGATCAAATCCAGTGCAGTGCAGACAACTGAAGGATCGTATCGCACCTCGAGTTGCCTTGTATATAAACTGTGCTTTACAAATAAACTTGCCATGCCAAGGGTGAACGTGCCCTGAGACTCAACTCTTTGTTGTTGGTCTTTGACATAATATCCAGCAGAGAAGTTGCTTTTTCAAAGATTACTTCAATCACAAGACACACACTTCTAATCTGTTCCAATGTTTATCCATGTTTTCACCACAAAAGTGAAAATGGTAGGAGAGATTAGGCTTGTGGTACACCTTTTGAACAGGATGTAAAGTAAACAGTGCTTGCCGAGGTATTAGGCCCATACTTCTAAAGATAGCTACATTCTATCTGCTTATCCTGCTGTGCTTGGAAGCACAATCTATATAGACCGGCTTTTGTGAGCTCTGCAGTCATTTTATCCAGTCATATCCCAGTCCATTATAGAGGCAATTGAGCATTGGAAGAATCTCAGATTTCCAAGTGTTACCTCGTCATTAACTGTTACATAGATGGCTTCATTGGCTGCGCTGCCAAAGACACAAGCTTGACGGATAAGCCGCAGTTCCTCAGGAGGAAGGAGAGCAAACACTGGCCACTTTCCCACGTCCAGCATACTACACAACACTGAAAGAACAAAGAGAAGCAGAGCATGGTTTGATGCTGTCCTTCTTTGGCTATGATCTATTACAGAGTCAAGTCATGGTTTAGTCTCAGTTTACCAAAAGGCCTTTTTATACAATGTTAGCATTAAAAATGCAATTACATGTTAACAAAGTGTTCTGTGTGAAAATGTTACCTGCTTAAACATTATGAACAAATACATACATCAATATAAAAGATGTATTAACATGAAATATTTCGAGAGCATCGAGTGCCTCCTACATCTTTGCCTCAGGAAAGAGCTAAACGAACCTGGTCCATGATAATATTTAATTAAGTCATAAATATATTGGCAACACAGAAAAAGTTGATTTGTTTCCAAAACCTCTTAAAATTAAAATAATAACTATGCATATTATAAATGAACTGCATGTTTCGTAAGTCATGACCACCATAAATCCAAGTTACGAACAACTATAACACTAGCATAACACCACCAGCGCCAGCACTGTTGTTGTTGTCGGCGTTACCTTACTGTCGCTTTAGCTAAGATTTGATCCTTATGTTTTTCAGACACCGCGATGGGACATATTTGACGTTTGAAGTTGTTGTTCACGGGTTGATTTCGACAGCTCAAAAGAACAAAGAAGTGTAGTTAAGTTAGTTGAATATATAGCTTTTGTCGCTACAGGCTAACTACAACATTTGGAAAACATTACACTGACTTCCTGTCAATGCGCGATGCGTTCATGGTAGTAGGAAATCTTACTGGTAGAATATGTATATATTTATATATAAAACAAACTTCACTCATACTTCAGTTATTTCGTATTTAAAAATTGTTTTATTATTATTAGTGTTTTTCTTTTCAAAAAATTCCCGGAATTATAAAAGTCTTTGTATAGAAAACAGTTTGAAATCTTGTAGTAATTTGTTGTATATATATATATGCCGGCATATACCGTATCTACACATTTCCATTAGTTAAAAACGTTTTAACTATACCACAGGTAAAAATCTTAAAAAATAATAAAAATAAAATACTTACTTTGTTGCCTTCTCGACAATGGTGTGAATGCAATATTGTATTTCACCAGCAGATGGCGTTATTATATAACCGTGCCAAAGAAATACATTTTGGAAGTTTTGAATGCAGAAACTATTAGAGACCTTAGTTTGGTAGATGAATGTGAAATAGGCGTAGTCTTATTACTTAGAAATACCCCTTTGATGTTAAAGTTAATTCAATCTTGAGTGAGATGGATGGAATAACACCAGCCTTGAAACCATCATGAATGAATGTAGAATAGGTACCTGTTCTCCTTGTGTTCTCCTCTGATAAACAACCAACCCATTTTATAAATGGTTAGAAAGTACAGATATTAGGGTTTAAAAGTAAGAACTAAAAGTTCTTCATTTTATCTGAAAAGTAAGTAATTCAATTGAACACAAATAATTGATTATTGAAATAATTGATTATATAATTGCTGTTTTTCTCCAACCTTATAGACTTAAACAGTTTATATCGATTGTGAGAATAGATTATCAAAATCTGAGAATAGATTTTATGACTCAGATAATTTGTTGACTGCAGAATGAAATGTGTTAACAACAAGATTTTAATACCACACCACTGTATATAAAGGTGTTCTCCAGGTGCATAACTCAAGTTTTGTGTTGGCCTAATGTATAAATCCCATAACTGACCTTTGGGATTTAAATAGGGCTGTTACAGAACAAGTATTTGTATAAACAATTAGTTGGACGATTATTCTTTCAATTAATCGATTCGTTGTTTAGATCATGAAAGGTCAGTGAATATGGGATTATCTATTGGACCAGAACAAAGCTCAAGTGATGCCCCTGCAAGAATATCTTCATAGAGATTATTTATTGAATTATATTATCTAAACAACATTTTTATTTCATTCAACCATAAAAATTCTTCTCAACATGTCTATGTAGGATTAAAAGAACTATTTCAATAATATGATTTTTTTTCATTGATGGATCTGTTTTTAGTCTAACCTAATAACTAGGCTCTAGCTTCTCACAAATAACTTTTTAGAACCTAGATCCTCATAACTAATTGATTATTCAAAAGAATAATCTGACAACGAATCGATCATTAGTCCTCCGATAATAGCTCTTCAATTTTGCATTGTGCCACAGATATATATATATAGCCTTTTAACAAGAGTTGGGTAATACTGTTTCTATTTGAACACATTCCAAACCCCAAAAGAAGCACTACAAACATGACCAAGCACTTTTTTTTAATGAATCCGTTTCTTATGTAGGAATTCGGGCCGTCATAATTATCCGTACTGCGCATGCGCATACACACACAGCTCTGTACGCGATGGCGAAATTCCTTCTTTTAACACAGGGAGCAGTGCTGGAGGGAAAGTTCCAGCCAAATTAGACCTGGGCTGACAACTTTCAATCCCTCAGTGTGATCTTGGGTCACTTTGGCTCCGTTTTCAATGCATACACTGCTGCATTGAGCAAAAAGAGCACATCTCGATCTCGCTAACTATCTTTTAGCTAGTTAGCATTTACGAGCTAACTACGTGCTAGCATGCCACAATTCGCCTTTCCGTGTGCGTATTTGAGAAACAAGTGAGTTTTCCGTGTCAGCAGGTGCCAACAGCAGCTAGCCGGATCTTGTGGACGTAAATCGAGGGAAGAGCTGCTGACAGGCCCCCTCTCCGTGAGTCCAAACAGTGGTGCTGCTGCTGCGGTCCCTTCAGGGTTCACTGTGAGTATTAAATAACATACAAGCACATTTATATTAGTGGATCTGCATTGTTACTGAATGATCTGGGGACTTGTTCTTGTTTTGAGCCATATGGATCAACGATGTAGCGAGTTACACCTGTAGCTATTGCTCTGGGTCAATATTGACTTTAGGTTTTTGACTCACTCTTATGGTCCCCGTGGCATGTTATGCAGTTAATAAGACATGCTTTATGTGTGTATGGAAATGAAAAAAATATGAGTTTGTCAGTCCAATAGCAATGTTGTGGTTTTAAGGATGTCATAGATTCGAAATAGCACGGTATTAAAATGCCTACTCTATTGCCTGTGATTTTAAAATATTCTTATTCTATATTCTATATATATATTTTATATTGTCAATATTTTCCACTTTGAGAACATTGAAATGATAAAGTACTATTGCCATTGTTGTCAATCAACGGCAATATTAATAGTGATGATATTATTTTGAAGATTTGTTTACCTAGAAGATTAATTTTTGTTTCACAGAATTTTGAACAATTGTCTTTTTGTTCTTTTTGAAGCTGCTGCCGTCAAACTTAGATTGTCATTCAGTTATAATTGTTTATAAAAATACAGCTATGTATGTCCTGAACAGAAATGGATCCATGCAATCATAATTCCTCTATTGCGCACTGCATTTTAACCACAGGGAAGGCTGTGGTAGAAATAATTTGTCATTGTAGACTATACATGATGTCATGATATGAATCAACATTAAATGGAATATTTTCAACACAATCCCTTGAAAGAAGCAAGAGGACATCATACGAACGGGCAGTCATTTACTCTTTTCACAACGTCAAAGAATTTGGCTTACATAATCAATAGACATTTTTGCTATTTGTTTACTATTTACTTAAATTATGTCAGAACTAAGCTCAGAACCATGTTTCCGTCAACTGCGTGGATCAGCCTCAAGAATCGCTTTTTCTCTATTTTCTCATTTCAGGAAATCCTGCATTTATCTACAGCATAACATCAGCTAGTCCTTTTCAACAGTGACATGTCTTACTTTGTACTGGCTCAGTAACCACAGGTCAGAGTCAAATTGGATACATTTCAAAGTCCATGAAGTTTGTTAGTTTTGGCCTCATGTAGACAGGCGACAGGTGTCCAGCACGGGTAAAGTGACCAGGCCTTTATCGATACATAGAATTGACTTTGCGATAGCGTCAGATAAGAGGGACGAAATGTTTAGTTTTTAGCCTATTTTATTGTGAATTTTGATCACTTTCTGGCCAGCAGTTCATTCACCTTTTGAGATGTTGTTCTCTTCCCTTGTTGCATAACAAGGAAAGTGCCAGAAAGATAAGTGAAACAGAAAAGAAGGGTGTTTTCCCACAACTGAAAAACAGCCGTAGTCAAATTTGTAGCCGGACCACATGTCACCTTCCCCCAGGTTAGCCGAGAGGAAACAGAGCCTCTATTGTATCTACTATTATTTCTTTCAATAGTTTAATTAAAGATACCCTGGAGACTCTGCTGCTTGTAAGAGGTATTTGAACTATACTTGCAATATGAAATGGTTTTACAACTTAAATTCGGAAAAGAGTCTATAAGGAAGTTTCTAATTGTATTGTATCAATAATGTAAAACGCAGAACTTGTTCATTCTGGTGAAATTACATGTTTGACTTTAGGGGATTTCATCTAATATTTACTAGTATGCAACTGAAAAAAACCCTTGTTAGTTCCACTGAAATAATTTAGAACAGAAAACTGGAACTGACTTTTTTTAAAGTAACATAGGGTTATTAGCAACCCTACCTTTATGCTACATACAGTATGTTTTACCCTCATTGTAAGCTCATAAGGGCTAGCATAGTTGCAGTGCACTTTCTGTTAAGATAAGATGAAATAAGAATTATTTTGACAGTTTTTTAACTACACAAAAAATACAATAAAATTGTGCGGGGCCTGTGCCTGGTAAAAAATGAATCACAGGCCAAACGACAGCAGAAGGAGTCCCTCTATGATCTGCTAATAACCCTGTCCACTCTGAGCAGTGGGGTGAATGCTCTTGTTGTTGGAGCTTAAGGTGGCGGTGGGGAAGGGGGGTTAAGGCGTAGCGATAAGCCAGATCACTGCGTGCTTTAGGGGCGCATGCGCTGCACAGTAATTAGCCTCAAGGACACATGTTGCATTTCTATTGTTACATGCTTCTGTACCGTACAATAATGGTTTACCTATTTATAATCATTTGGTGTTTCTCAAATATCTTTTTATCTTTTGTCCACACAATCATGGCTGTATAATGTAAGATGAACTACTGTCTAGACAAATCTTATCTTAGGTTCTTCATTTGATTAGCATACTGTTGTATTAGTCAAATATCTGTCTCATGTTTGTGCCAATGGAAGTAATGCTGCTTTGACTGGCATTTTTTGCAACATAGGATTAATAATATTCCTTAAATATAAGACTGTAAACAAGTTAATTGCAACTAATCATTTATTGAATATTACTAGTTTTTGAGCCTTCCATAGACTTTTACACCCTGAAAAGAGGTTTTATGACTCAGATGAAAAAGGGTTTTCATTAAGGCAAAAGCAAAAACAACCATTTTGTTTTACATAACGATGTGCATTTTTTTACACATTAATAATGCATTGCATTTATTGCGCATCATTGGGATTTTGCACTTGCTATTATTTTGATAAATAGTGCAGCACTGATTTGGATGCATACCATAGACTGTATACATGCAATTCACTTGCACTCGTTTTTGCAACATGAAGCAAAAGTGAAACATGGTGTGCTTTAATTGCACAGTGGAAATGTAATGACTTCAAAAATGCTCAAAGTCAACAAAATGTTGTGAGATTAAATTTGCTGGAATTGTTGGAATGACTCAAACATGCATCTCAAAGGTGACAAGGAGATGAGATGCCAGGGGACAGGGAACATCTGTCCTTCCTTTTATTCCTGCAGTATTTTTGATGTCACTGACTCCACGGTAATGGTGTTCTAATGTCTCTACCAGCTCCAGGGAGTTGAGCGGGCATTTTCCCTCCAATGATTGCATTATTGTTTGAAAAAGGCCACTCTCGTATGTGATCTTGGTTGTTTGACGTACGTTGGGGAAACAGCTGCTCACCGATAGGATCAGAAAATACTATGTCAGAATTGAGGCAATGGGCCCCAGTGAAAAATTGCAGGCTGTGAGATGAACATGATGAGAAGCATGTGATTGGCAAACGTATTCTGATGTGCAAACTATTTTAACCATGGTGTTATCAGCCTTTTACCACCACTGAAAATGCCTTAAAGGGCCCTACATCTCAATTACTGGAAATTGCTCTGCTCCATGTGGAAACAAAGTCTGCTTATCAAACAGCTGTGCCAGAAATGGTGGTGTTTGGTGAGGTATGACAACATCATGGTGTCTTGGTCACTTATTTTCAAATCATGCGTTCATGATTTTGTTAACTGATAGTTGTGATGCGTCAGGGCCAAACTATATTGGGGAATTATAATTGCATCTTATTTATAATGGTTGAATTAAAATAGTTTAGCCCGAAACGATACAATTTTTCAGGTATGACTAGGTAATTTTGTACGCTTGCTTTAGTTGAAACACGTGTGTGGTGCTATTTTGTTTGTAAATGTTAGTTTATGTATAATATACAAAAACGGCCACCCCAAATGTCTCATTGTGCTTTCTGTTTAATCTTCATAAATATTATGGGCATCATGTGCATTTTTGTAAGTTGTATTATTAAGTAGGAATAACTCCTTTCAAACATTTGTTCAGAAAAGGTTTATGTGATTTGTAACTGGCCTGTTATCTGGGGACACATAAAATGTAGATGTAACATTTTCACTCAGAGGTAACTTATTTAGATTATGATATTTATTCAGGTCATATATTCCTTAAAAACAAATGTAGAAAGCATCCATTATCCATCGTTTTGAATCCAATCCGGCAGCCACGGGGTTGGAACCCCATGGCCTTTGCCCATAGGGCCGTGCTCAGACACTTGGGCCAGTCCTTTTGGGCTCACCACCTGCAGGTCCCCGGGGTCAGGTGCAGAGGTGTGGGCGGTGGGCAAATGCAGCGACCTCGATGATCCAGTCCCATCACACATCTGTTATCTTTGTTGAATCAAAGAAAAAAGTGATAAAGTTTGTCACTTACTCTTACATTATTTACAACCAAAATGTAGCAATTATCAACACATATTTCAATTCACTGTTTGGTCATTAGAAAAGGTTTTTTTCCCCACACACAGAGGATTTGTACCTCCTATAATGTGAATTCTAACGGGAAAATGTGTGTTGTTGGCAGGAGTACCTCTTCAGTGGTGTGAATGAGGGAAATATGGCAGACCACACCCCACCTCTGGAGTCCGGCCAGATCCTCAGCCCTGAACTGCCCATCCTGGCCTCCCCCCCGCCCCCAGCCATGGTCAACGGGGAGGGCCCACAGCAGGTACGCTCTGAGCATGCTGTTTTAAGATCGTATGGCCACAGTTGCTTGCAGTGACCCTGGACTGGACTCAAAATGGGGATGGCCTCTCTGACCCCCCCCTAATTAGCCAGTAGTTTTAATCCAATCCTCTCCAGTCTTTCTCCTAGTTTTGTCTATTATAAATGACAAAAGTATAAATCCTGTGAGGTTAACGGAGCAGCGAACACACCGATCAATGTATGAAAAAGGAACAAATTAACTATTCTAAGGCTCTTAAAGGCTGTGGCAAAATCAACTATGGATTTGTCCAACTTGATCATCTGTACGCTGTTGTCCATTTTGAAAGAACAGAAGATAGACGGCAACACTCATGCCATTGCGGAGTTGGAATGACTGTTTTACTCCAGTGATGATGAAGGGAAAGCCCAGTGCTGTCTGTAGGTACAGGTGTCCGCAGACCCCCCGTCACAGCTCGCGGCCCCGACAGCGGCTGTTGTGTTGAAGAGGACAGGATGTGGAGGCCTTACCCCGTCACCTCCTGTCACAGCCGCACTGACGCTCAGCCCACATGACAAGCGCATGGGAAATACTTGTCAGTTTGATGGGCATCGCTTTGATTTGCTTAAGTTTCCATCTCCTCCCCAGGGCGCTGTATGGTATCTCTGTGTCTATCTATTGGCCTCCACAATCCAGGCCTGGTTGTTAGTGACATTAAAGTGTGAGGGACAAGAAATCTATCCCAATTAGAATAGTTTTTGCATTAAATAACAATATTCAGATATAATTAAAGCACTGAGTCTTAAATACCATTATTATGTATCTGAAATTAATAACAAAAAGGCCCAAATTTCTCTTTGTCTTGTTTATTCTTAGATTTTAAAGGGCCCGAAAATTCTTCAATTTTAGATCTTATTTTTATTAATTGAAGCCTCAAAAAAGGTTGCAGCTACCTCTCCACTTAATTACTTAATGATGTGTATAGTAATGCTTTTGCAAGTCTCAAATGTTTTGTTTGATTACTAGTATCACCCATCATTTTTATTTTAGGGATGCATCTTATAAACCAATTATTATTTTGCAGAATAAAAAGCAGCAGAGAACGTTTGCAGATAATGATTCAAATTGACAAAAAAAGACTAAAGACTTATTATTAGTTACAGAGGAAAGACCATATGTTTGTTATTGTAACAAAGCAATATTCTAGCAGACCGGAGCGCCAGCCTCTTTCTAGTTTTGTTGTTCTAAAAGGCATCTGGCGTTTCATGCTACCTCTGCCTACAACCATATTTGAAGCATTCTTTGAACGTAATTGTTGGCGTTCTCGTGGGAGCTTTTGGACGTAATATCTTCCATTTCAAAGTCTGTCTGATAATATAAATTTCATATCCACCATAATTTCGAAGGTGCCCCCAAGCAGGAGGGCTGTTGAAAGACGCTTTGTTTTTCGGTCCCAATCCATACTCTTTGGAGCTGAGACTTTTAGTGTCAAAGGAGCCTCAGGGGCCATCCACCCAGGAGTGCATTGATTCATGCTTTATGTTTTTATATCTGCAAAGCAGGTAATGTTTTTGTCCTTATCGATTGGTTTGTTGAGGAGGGATTCATGTGTCTTTGTTTGTTAACATTCGTGGGGTGGACTGGATGCAGTTCAATGCTTTAATATTATGAATTTCATCTCCAACATTATTACAAGCTATAGGAGGTCTAACCCTAACCGATAGAAAACGTAAAAGGGACTGACGTATTTCAGATTTTCCGGAGCCGCTACTGATATCTTAAGATTTTGCTCTGCCAATTGCAAATGTATTCATGATCATGACTTGAACAATTGGATCAAAGATGATTATTCAATTATGCTAACACACATTGCTAACCAGGATGAGCCAATATATTTATTATAAAGCAGCCATGAAAACAGTGATTAACTTTTTTCTAGAGTTGAAGTTTCTCAAATGATGTTTTCTTATTGTTTCGGCAGCTACTGACTTTGATAGGTTTGCTTGATAGCTTTATAATGTATGCCATGTGCTTTGTATGTAATGGCAGAGATTAAGTTGGCTGGATGACTGTGCGGACATGATATCTGCTTTTGGATAATAATGTTCTGCAATCTGCAAAAGTCTCTTAAATCTAAGCCACTTACGAATATCCTGCGAGACATCCAAATTGGCAAAACAATTAATCCTTTTGTATTCATTGGTTGATGTCTGCTGTCGAACTTATGTGTAGTAAATGTGGCCAATATAAATGTGACGACTGAGGCTTCCAGCTCTTATCAATGTTTTGATCTGGAATACTGTCACTTTTGACCATTTGATTCAATTGATATTGGTTTTAATCCAGGTATATTTTAAGCAAATGGTAATGGACTTGGAAGTTTCTATTCTAATTTAATATACTCTCTATACCTCTTTACTTGTACTACTAGAATTGTATGTCTGGATATTTTTTCCTATTTACATCCGATGTTCCTGTAACTCTAATGCCGGAGGGAAGGTCTGCCAAATCTCAGTGCAGTGCAGCTTCACTTTGATTTCTTGGGAGGACAGAGGTGCACAAACATCACGACTGCTTAAGAAACCTTGGAGGGATCGCGGGGGCGGATCATCGATAAATTTCTACTATTATGAACATTGTCTTGATTTTAAATGACTATTGTAAAGAAAAGAACTTTCAAAGAACTAGTATTCAGACCTGCTCATACATGTTTGCGTAATCCTTCCATTCGGTTTTATTTAAAGAAGTATTTATTCGCAGTAAAATTGATAATGAGACTATATGCTTTGTCATTTCATGTTTTTATTATGTGAAATAAGATATTCTGTAGAAAATGAACAACGGAGGGAGTGATAGAAATTGTTTTTTTTTTTTCAAAATAAAAAAAACAGGCTGCATTTTCACCTGAAAAACTTGCCATGGCTGTTTTATGGGAAGTCCTTTAGTTTTTAAAAAGGTAGAAAACTGTGTGACTAAGCACTAAGACACATGTTTCTGTTGGAAGTTCCTGATATTAGCGCTGTTGGCTCAAACCACTACGGGTCTGTTTTTTGATGATTTGTTGCATGTAGTAACATTGAGATACTTTGAATAACAACCGTGGAGGATGGTCCTTTTATAATACATCCTTGTTTGAGTTTAAAATGATTTGTTAATTATTATGTCATTGGTTATCTTACAGACACAATCGCATTTACCTTATGTTTGATTCTTTAGATTTTTGTGGGGGATATTCCCTAAAAAGTATCAACGTGTTCATTAGTATCTCTCACAGCTGTTTGAGGGGCGTGTAGCTCTGTGACAGTGAGGAGGATCCACACAGAAGGCCAACCCCCACGTTTGTGACCTTTTACATGAACAAGCCTCCGCCTTTTGTTCCTAGTTTCCTCAGCCCCTTTCCGCTCGGTATTAACGCTCTACTGGTCCAATTACCGTGAGTCAGAGAGGAGGCTGTTGTCTCGGGGTCATTACCTAAGATGATTCTGTTGCAGAGATGACTTTGGTCGGGGCTATGATTCACCGCTTCCATCTATTTAATCCCCCCCCCCAAATTTTCCGGCTTCTTGCCCTTCAGTACACAGTGAAGATGGTACAAGTGAAATCAGTGTTTTTGTCAGATTTCAAACCAAGTCAGTGATGCTCAAGTTTACTGCTGGTGCACTTTTGTGTTAATTTCTCCTTCACACTAACGCCCAGTGTGAACAAATTGTGTTTGATGTCTCGGCAGGTTTTATGCAGCATTATTGCTATATTTCGAGAAGCGGTATTGAATTGTAGCATAATTGTATGAATCTTGATGTGTCTCATAGCATGCCATGAATATTAAGATACAAATCATATCTGCAGGCTCTGAAAGCTACCCACCCAGAAGAATCCCAACAGTCAAAAGTCAGATTTCTATTCTTTAGTTTAGAGTTATTTTCTCTGGGCCAATCCACATTAAACAAAAGACTTCCCCGTCTTTGTCAGCGCATATCGACTATGCTCTAATTATTAACTCATAATGGGGGTGGGGACTGGGAAAGAGGGTAAACAGGTAAAGAATTCCCAAACAAGCCGCATGGGGCAATGGATGTTGTTGCGAGTTAGAAAATGGGGGGCCATTTATCCCCCCAACAATAAAGATAAATGGGGTAAAAAAAAAACCCCCTAACCAATAATTTGAAACAAACCCATTGGAAAAATAACCTTTGGGGGACTTTAAAAAAAAAAGTCCTTATCCATATAAGTTTGCATTTGGTGGGCCTTAAAAACCCCCCCGTCCAACTGAAAATAGTCACAATCCAAGGTAAACAAACCTAACTAAAAAGTCTTTTTTGCTAGAAAATGCCTTGTTTGGATATGGGCAGGAGGCCTTTAAATATATTTTTTTATTTTATGTTTTTTTTTCTCCAAATTTGCAATCTTTTGGCGTTTAACCAAAAGGAGGTGGGGCCAAGAACATCAAAGTCAGATTGTTAAAATGCCAAGACCGATTGTGTTCCCAGTCTTCTAAATCGTCCCAAGTTGGGATTGTGTACAGTCCCTGCAGATAAAAGCATTGTGGTTTGGGAAGGGGAACAAATATAGACTTAGGAAGCCCTATTTTTCCTTTTTTGAAAATGACAATCCTGTTTTTAAAGATTCATTTGGTGGAAAAGCTGTAAAATGGAATAACCCACCTTCTATATATAACAAAAGTCCAGTTCCAACATCCCCAAAGGGGAAACATTTGGGGTCCCCTTTTTTGGGATGGGACAAATATACAAGGTGGGTTTTTTTTATGTCTATGACCCGTTTTAAAACTGGGCCTGGCCGTTAAAAACAATCCTCGGGTCCAGAGGTGGGCCATGGGGCTATGTTTCTTGGTGGGGACGGTTGGGTCCCCCCTAGTCCAGCTTGTTTTTACTCTATTTTTTTGGGCGGCGGTTTTTTTCCTACCAACCAGAGTCAGGGGCGAACCCGGTGGTGGGTGGGGCTCCCCCAAGTGCCAAAGGTCCCCGACTGTCCAATCAGCCATTGAAAATCCCAAGGTTTGGGGGGGG